GTGAAACACTTACTCATTCACCTAAAGTGACATCATTAAGTCTAAACCCCAAGAGTTATGAAGTAATTTGAAAGACATGCATCTTCCCTCAACACATGTACCAAGGCAATGCTTTTCTGGAATATGTAATTGACTGTGGCTTATAACACACACAATTATAATAGTGCTAATCTATCATTTATCAGATAATAGCAATTAACCAATGTTAAATACATCAGCAACACAAAGAATCTTAAGTATAGCATTGGGAATGCATATGTGATACTTATTTTCATTAATGTGTAATTCTGATTGCATTCATACAACTTAGGAAGTGTTTATAAAATATAAAATTTCTTCCCACTACAGAAAACTTGATAAAAGTTTTGTATTTCTGTAAAATGGAAAATAGGACCAGGAAGAGAGATAAGTGGTTAAGAGCCTGAATTACTCTTGCAGAGGATCCAAGGTCATTTCAAAGGAACCACCGGGGGCACCTTACATCTGCCTATGACCCTAACTTTATAGTATCCAATTCATTCTTTTGGCAAGCATAGACAACTGTACTCATTTGCACATGTACCCACAAAGACATACAAACACAATTATCAATTAATCAAATAAGTAGAAGGTATTACATTCATAGGCATAAGAATAATTGATTATTTCCAATGGGCATGAATATTTCAGAAACAACATGACTTATATTAATTGAAAAAACATGTGCAGTTGTTGCTGAATAATTCACTATAAGTCTGACCAATCCCCAGTGTTTTTCCTGATTATTTTCACTATGTTGAATATTAGTCTATATTTTAAAATATTGAAATATACCAAAATATTTAAAGTTCATTGTTTTTTATTTCCCTAGATGAATAATCCTTAAACAATTTCATGCAAAGTTCCCAATTCCCCAGTAACTTTACTAATTACTGGCATTGTCTCTTTCTTGTAATTTCCTAACATTAGACACTAGTATCTTGAGTTCTGTCTCAGTGAAAGTTTAATGAAGCAATTTGATTATATGTCTGAATAAAGAATTTACTTCAGTTAATAGAGAAAATAGAAAAGAAGTCTCAATAGAAACCATGGCTATTTGGGAATTAATTCAGTGAGCAACTTATTCTAGTTTAGGGAGTAGGGATATAAGATTCAAAGAAGGTTCAAATGCTGGCATTGACAGTGTGTGGGAATAGACTTGGTCCACTCTGGATGAAACTGGCTTGACTGTGAGCACTTTCTTTAGCAGTGCATCTGAATTTGTGGGAGAAAATTGTAACACAAGGACTTGACTCAGTTTTAAAGCCTGTTTATTTCTTTTTTTTCTTTTCTTTTCTTTTTTTTTGAAGGTGTCAAGAAAGCCTTTTAATAAATCTATTTTACAAATGCACTGGAGAGTCATGCAATGCTGCCTGCATTTGATGGAATCCTGAGTCACAAGTCTGCACACTCCTTGCAACTGGACCCGTGATAGCAGAACCTTTCATCTCTCTTTTATTGTTTACTATGACCCCTGCGTTGTCTTCAAAATAGAGAAACACCCCATCTTTTCTTAGTTATGACTTTCCTTGTCCAATTACAATGGCTGAATGGACCTTTTTTCTTAGTTCTGGTTTGCCTTTCTTTTTTTTTTTTTTTTTTTCATTTTTCTGCAAATTTTGCCATTTTATTTTTTTTTATAGTAAATTTTATTAAATTATAAAAGTTTCCAATTCCGCCCCCCCTCCCAACACCCTCCCACTCCCCCCACTCCCCCCCTCCTTCCCCTCCGTCCCCCAGGGCAATCAGGGTTTCCTGCCCTGTGGGAAGCTCCAGCTCCCTCCCCCCAGGTCCAAGGAGAAATCCCCCAGATTGCTCTCTGGACAGAGGAGAGGGTGCCTGAATCGGCCGTGGCCCATGACCATACTGATGTATATTTTGCTTATCACCATAGATCCTTCCTCTGGCGAAGGACGGCTATGCAGTCGGAGGCCCACATTGGAGGACCGGATTGAGCCCCCCGAGGTCCGGAGGGGGAGCGGAAGGAGGAGGAACATGAAAAACGAAATCAGTACTGCGAGGGATGCTATCACCCACTGATACAAGGGAACGGATCTGATGAGAGTTTACCAGGGCCAGCCGGACTGGGACTGAACGAGGACGTGATCTAGACAGATTCTCGGAATTTGGCCGGATTCTCTGACTGTGGCTGGCCCGGGGTCTTTCTGAAAAGCCATTGACTATGACACTGGGACCTGTTTCCTCTGCATATGCTGGATTTTGGGGATCCAGTCTGTTTGGTTTGCCTTTCTTAACTGTGATCATCACCATGATTCCCACACCAGCAGCAGGAAGTCTGTTCAGCCGTCCCTTGATTCACTTCACAGAGACAATATACAAATTTTTGGCTCCTGTCTTGTCAGCACAGTTCATCACAGTTCCTACCGGAAGACCCAGGAATATCTAGAATTTTGCTCTGGAGGACCCACCACGTCCTCGCTTCGACATCTTAAATGCCTGGAAAGAGTCAGAAAGGGCGTGTTTATTTCTTGATGTGCAAACTATGAGATAGTTTCAACTACTTCAAGTCTTTAATCTCATGGTTTCAAAGCAGATTTCATGCAACCTGTATGCTTCCGTGAAGGACGCAAAACACTTCAGATGATATTCAGTTGTTAGGGATTACCATGCCTGTATTTTTTTTTGATAATTTCATAAAGGAACACACTACTTTTGAAGTATTTTAAACTTTCACCTCTAGCAAGTCTTCTGTCCTCAACAACCAACTGCCCTGTACTTCATGGAATCTTCTATAATTTCTTTCTTTTGCATATTTCCTTATATATGCATAAACATAGAGACAAACATAGTTAGATAAACACACATATAAATATCCAACTGATTAATATCATACATATTACATAAATAGTTGTCTTTATATAAATATAGGTATCTAAACAACTAAAATATTCTCATTTGAATGTGTCTAGGGCTAAGCACCTAGATTTGGTGTCTTTCCCTAGGAAAAACAGCTTTTTTTCTCCTTACCAGCAGAATACTACCTTTAGATCTCCATTTTCCTCCATCTATTTATGCCTGCCAATTAGAATGATCTTTGCATTTCTTGTGAAATCAATATTGTTTAGCATTCATGGAAGAAATATCCCTATCCTGTCCATAAAATACTATCTCAGAGTCTTTCTGTTCATTATGTTATTAAAATATTTCTGCTCCTTTTCCAATATTTATTTTGTCCTTGGCCTTAGTTGTATAGGACATGTTATAGTAGCCTGTCAGGTGGGGTGACCAAAGTATGAGAATTCTGGAAAGAGGAAAGAGAGAGACACAGTTGTCATCCAGGCACACAGGAAGCATAATGAGAAGACATTAGTGAGAAAAGGTACCAAGACACATGGCTAAACATTGATAAGAATTATGAGTAAATTTAAGTTATAAGAGCTTGTTAATAAGCTTGTTATAAGTCTGTGATAAAAGGCCAACATGTTCGTAATTAATAAAGGCTTCTGTGTGTTTCTTTGGGATTGAATGAGTGTAGGATCAGATGGGAAAAAAAATCTGACTACAATTTGGGGCAAGAAAACCACAGTCACTTTTTCTCAGCATGTTCACCAGTTCTGGATCTCTCTAACAATTTCCATTTTCTGTAAAAGGAAGTCTAGTAGATAACGTGCTAGAGCTGCAATTATCTTTGGTTATGAAAATGAGCATTTATAAAGCATTTGGAAATTTTATTTCATTAGTAACACAGTAATTGAAGACACTCTTCTGAAGCCACGGCCTCTTCAACCATGTTTTCTTGGCTAGAATAAGTTTTATGCAATTCCCACAAGCTTTAGGTATGATTAGACAGCCATTGTTACCTCCAAGATAAAAAGACATTATTTAATCTTTGAAGATAGGATTGCATTTTCAATGTTAATATATTCAAAGCAATATCTGTTCTTGCAGAACAGACTAGAGTGGTCAAAACAGAACTATTTTTAATAACAAATAATATATTATTAGAATAAAAATATTAAATGAGTTATTAAACTGATAGTTTTCTGAATTGGAGCATATAAGAAAATATGAAAAACAAAACTATAAATAACAGCAGAAAATACCAAGAAAAAAATCACAACAAGAATTTGAAATAAAATGAGATAAAGTCTAAAATCTACCATTGGCTAATGAAAAGTAAGCAGTTACAGGGATTGTGAGCAATTTGGGATTTATGGGTTAGAGCATAATGGCAATTTCCTTGTTCATATCTGTCTGTGTCACTTGTTAGAAAACTTAAGGCACAATAATTGTAGCATTAAAACCATATTTTAATCTAGTTTTTGAAAACTTTAGAATGACTCTAACAATTATGTAAATGTAATGACCACTTAAGCACTATAGGTTCTTCACTTAAAACTTGATTTTTAAAGAAGAGTACTCTGAAAATTTATTTTTAAGTGTTCATTGATCCCCTCATTTGTCAATCTTAAACTTTCATGTTCGTAATACTTTCAAAAATTCATAAATTTCCTGAATTTTTTTCATGAAGAAAAATGAAATCTAAAATTAAGAAATTGATAACCGATGGGTGAGATGATACAGTATTTAAGAACAATGGTTGCTTTTCCATAGACCCTGATTCTATACACAGTAACCGCATATCGTCATACAGCCATCTACAACTCTAGCTGAAGGAGTCAGGAATAATGCTTATGATTTCACTGAGTACCTGATAGATATTTGGTGCGCAGGCTAAGCAATCATACATGTGGAACTAAACTTTTTAAATCTTGAGAAAAAATGAAACTGGCCAGGTGGTGGTGGTACACGCCTTTAATCCCAGCAGTCGGGAGGCAGAGGAAGGCAGAACTCTGTGAGTTCGAGGCCAGCCAGGTCTACAAGAGCTAGTTCCAGGACAGGCACCAGAGCTACAGAGAAACACTGTCTCAAAAAACAAACAAACAAAAAAAAAAACAAAAACAAATAAAAACAAAAAAATGAAACTGATAGAATAGTAACTACGTAGAGGATCAATTTTCATCTTCACTTGTCAGGGAGATATTATGATCATAAAGGTTGCTGCCCCAGGGTGAGGCATATATGTTGCACTCCAGATTTGCTTACACCTGTAATTTCTCCAAATGCAGGAAACTCATTTGCGTAATCTGGGGAGTGGGGAACTGCATTTGCACTTCCTCCCTATTAAAAAAAAAGCAATGGTAGAATATCAATTTTTGAGCAACCACTGTTTAAGAATAGGATATCATTTTAGAATGATTATTAAAAATATAGATGATCATTTGTTTTGATACAAATAAAAACACAAACGAAATTGAAACAACAAATGGATTTCTTTAGGCAGCATGAAACAAATATTTATCTTTGTCTTAGTTTGTGTTACTATTGCTGTGATGAAACCACATATAAACAAATTGAAGAAGAAAATGTTTTTTGGACGTGTGCTTCCACATCTATAGCTCATCTCTGAATCAATTAGGTAGGGACTCACACAAGGCAAGAACCTGGAGGCAGAAACTTATGCAGAGGCCATGGAGGGGTTCTTCTTGTTCCTTTATTTCTTGCTCAGAAATAAAGCTTTCTGAGGCTTTATTCTTTCATTATCAATCACAAATTGAGAAAATGCCCTAGAGCCAATTCTTATGAAGGTATATTCTCAAGTGAATTTCCCCCCTTTCAGATAACTGTGTGGTTTTTCCTCCTTGGGGATCATAGGTTACAGGTCTACATGGGAGGAGGTAGAAATGGCGACCAGAGTTAAGAAGGCTGTGAGTAGTGAGGAAATTATCTTCTGGGAGTGAGTTTCAGCGAGACAGCACTCCTTTATTTCAGGATGAAAAGAATATATAGTATGGAGACAGCTGTTGAGCATCACCTAATTTGAGTTTGTAAGCATCATCCTATCATACAGCTGAAGCATAATACCTAGTTGTGGATCAGAAAATGGAAAGATCTCCCATGTTCTTGGATAGGTAGGATCATCTTATATAAATGGCAATCCTACAAAAAGCAGTCTAAAGATTCAATGCAACTCCAATTGTAGGAACACTTAAGTCAGGCATCCAAGCTCAGGGATAGTTTTCAAATAAGGTTAGGCGTCTGGATCTAGAAATACTATCCATATAGGGTAGAGAGGAAGTCCTGCTGTAAAGGGAGTCCTCCATATCATGCTGAGCTCAGAGAGCTATCAGAACCTAAGCAGCAGGGTCTTTCAACATCCTCCTCCCTCTTTTATTTTATATTGGAGAGGTATCATCATTAACCTTGAGGAGCATGTTGTCTGTATCAGAGGGATCAAGGGCCTGGTTGCAAACCATGATCTGGTTGCTCTTAATTCTAGCAATGGTGGTGCTGTTCCACTGGAGGAAATGAATGAGGCAGGAGGTAAGCATTAAAATATAACATAGCCTAATTAGGGCATAATTAGGGTACTAATAATTGAAAAGACCCAAGGGGGGAAAGGGGTTTTTGGAATCAGGACAAAGATTCTTGTGGATAATACTTGGTCAAAAGATCTTTGTGAGGGCTTAAAGGGTCTTTACATCATGTTACACTAAATTGTACTCATTTACAAAGAACCAACATTTTTCTCCCAGGACCACATGAATCCCTGCCTTGTTCAGCAGTTATTAAGTTGGTCAAGGGCTTTTTTCTTTGCTGCAAGTGAGTTCATCTGTCTTTGGAGTGACTTGAGGCTGTCAGTCATTGATGCCTTGGCCTGCTCAAGTTTTCTTGAAAGTCCCCAGCCAGATATTGAGTCTGTACAAGGGCAGGAGTTGCAATGCCTCCTGAACCCGGAGAAAGGGTGAGCACAAGTACCACTAGCAGAGGGATGAATATTTCTTTGTGTGGATGGGTGCAAAGGAGGAAAGCAGCTTCTTCATCCTTGAACAGCTATACCAACAAGAATCACAGATATGCAAAAGGTGGGCAGTTAACAAAGGACTGGGCATTTCCCTTCTGCCAAAAATGAAGGGAGGGGCAATGTATGTCAGCCTGGAAAGAGTGATGTTAGAGAGACATGGGTCATGAGCAGGCTTGTCCAATCTGGAAATACAAACTGGGCAGTTGGGCAGGTGGGCAGGCAACAATCAGTGAAATTTTCTGCGGTTCTGGGGTAAAGGAGAAGGTTATTGACTGGCACAGCTGTCAGCACTGATCTATTGCTGGATGCACAAAAGATGTTACAGGTGTTAGGATGGGGAGTGAAAGGGAGAAACTCAACAGCGTATTGAAAGTATTGGTTTCATGCGATGGTGGCTTTGATCTGTTGATGAGCATGGGTTTTTTTGGGGTGGGGGAGGGAGAAAAACACATTTATTAGTTAAGACAACCACAGGCTGGACACAACACATATGCTAAAAAGTGGACTGTTTTTTTAAAACTTCAAAGGTAATTTTTTTCAAACCCCACAATCATTTCCATAATATTTACAAAATAAAAGGCCCACATCAAGACATTGAATATTAAAGTATGTAATAAATGCTCCAATTTACCCCTATACTTAAAAATCATGCGATTAGCCATGCCATTGAAAACCACTCATGGTATTCAAGGATGAACCAATTTTCAATGTATCAGCCCTGGAAAACATTCACCGTTAATCCCAGTTCCCACTCCAGCACATTCTAATTTGTTTTACATTTTATAAATAAGGAATTAACATCAAAGCCTGTTTAAAAAAATAAAAACAAAAATGAAATTCCTTTAAGTCTTTTGTCCTGGGCAAAACCACTCCATTTTCTGGGGAAGACAATTAGACCTTACAGCCACTGTGAAATAAAGCTGTTGGTAAACCCACTTAGATCCTGGCTATCCCCTTTGTCTTTCTAGCAGTAAGCACATGTTGAATAGAACCTCACAACTTTTCTTACTGTGCTTTTGGTTCTGCTGCCTATTGGTTAATTCTGAAGTTTTCTTCCTTGTGTTTGAGTACTGACTAGCCTACAATCTTAAGCCCTCTATAATGCCCTGAAATATGTGGAATCGTTCCTGACTGCCAGTGTGACTTTAAGAACCCAGGCAAGTAGGTAAGAACCGGAACCACAAAGTAAGCTGCACTAAGGTCACAGTGCACAGCTCTTGGGCTAACAGTCTTTGACCTTTGTGCATTTTGGCAGGTGACAATACAGCCAAGAGCCAGAATAAAGTATATCATTGCTTAAACTGTTTTGCAAAAGAACAGTCACCATGTTATCCCTTATACTGAAAGCATGTTTTTCTGTTTTTATTTTATTTTTTAAAAAAACTACCTTTATTTATTTTACATACCTATCTCCTATTTAGGTTTCTTTGCTGTCTGACCAGAGTAAGTGAGCTCTCATTAGCTCAGGTATGTTGTTTCAGTGGGTATAGCCATCATGATCTTGAATCCTCTTTCTTCCCACTCTTCAACTGGACGTTGGGAGCTCAGCCCAGTGCTTCACCATGGCTCTCTGCCTCCATCAGTTGCTGGATAAAGGTACTATGGTGACACTTAAGAAAGTCATTAATCTGGCTACAGGACAAGACCTGTTTGGGCACTCTCTCCACTATGACTTAATTAGGTCTTAGTTAGGATCATTCTGGGGATTCCTGGGAATTTCTCTAGTGGCAGGTTTCTTACTAGCCCTATAATGACTCCTTCAATCAAGATATCTCCTTCCTTGCTTTCCATTTCTGTTCTTCCTCCAACTTGACTATTGCATTTCCTCAAGTCCTCCCCCCCTCCTTCTCTCTTCCTTCTCTCCTTCAACCCTCTCTTCTTCCCCCACTCCCATTCTCCCCATTTTCTCAGAGATCTTCCCTACTTCCCCTTTCCATATGTTTCTCTTTGGGTTCTCCTGTTGCTTAGCATCTCTGGGTCTAGGTTAATTCACTCAGGATGTTTATTCTTTCTAGTTCCAAACATCTGCATGCAAATTTCAAGTTGCTGTTACTTTTTACTGTTGTGTATACTCTATTGTGTAAATGTACATATTCATTCTTTGATTGAGGGGCATATAGGTTGTTTCCAGGTTCTGGCAATTACAAATAATCCTGTTATGAACAAAGCTGAACAAATGTCCTTGTAGGGTGATTGACCATCCTATATGTATATGCCAGAGACTGGTATTGCTGGGTCCTGAGGTAGGGTGATTTCCAATTTTCTGAGAAACTGCCATAGTGATTTCCAGAGTGGCTGTACAAGTTTACATTCCCACCAGCAATGGAGGAGTGTTCCCCTTACTCTGCATCTTCTCCAGCATAAGCTATCAGTGGTATTTTTGATCATAATCTTAATGACAGGTATAAGATGGTATCTCAGAGTTGTTTTGATTTGCATTTCACTGATAACTAAGGATATTAAAAATTTCCTTTTGGTCTTTTTGCCATTTGAGATTCTTCTGTTAAGAATTCTCTGTTTAGATCTGTACCCCATTTTTTAATTGGATTATTTGGTATTTTGATGTCTAATTTCTTGAATTCTTTATTTATTTTGGAGATCAATCCTCTGTGTAATGTGGGGTTGGTGACAATTATTTTTTGTTTCAATGGTCTTCCTTTTTGTGTTATTGACTGTGTCCATTGTTTTGCAGAAGCTTCTCAGCTTCAAGAGGTCCCATTTATTTATTGTTGCTCTCAGTGTCTATGTTACTGGGGTAATATTTAGGAAGTGGTCTCCTGTGACCATGTATTCAAGTGTACTTCCCACTTTATCTTCTATCAGGTTCAATGTTGTCAGATTTAAATTGATATCTATTTGGACTTGAGTTTTGTGTATGGGGATAGATATGGATCTATTTTCATTCTTCTACATGCTGACATCCAATTACGCCAGCACCATTTGTTGAAGATGTTTTATTTTTTCCATTGAATAAGTTTAAATTCTTTGTCCAAAGTCAGGTGTTCATAGGTGTATGAATTAATATTTGGGTTTTTATTCAAATCCATTGGTCAACCTGTCTGTTTTTATGCAAATACCAGAATCTACAGATTGCTTTTGGTAGAAATGCCATTTTTTAATGTTGATTCTACCTATCCAACAGCATGGAAGATCATTCCATTTTCTGGTATCTTCTTCAATATCTTTCTTCAAAGTCATAAAGCTTTTATTGATAGAACTAAGGGCCTCTTTATCTATTGGCATTAGAGAGCAATGAGAGGAGGAGTTTTAAGTAAAGCGAATAGAGGCTGCAATTGGCTGGCTGGTATGGGGACCA